TTTTTTTTTGTCAACTTTCGGTATATATTTGCTCATTTTTTCTAACTGTTTTGTACATTTACAGTGTGGTTGGAAACTTTTTTTTTTTTTTGGTAAACGGCCGAAAATTCATGCGCGCGCGGATGTCATCCATATAATCAAATCAACATGGCCTTATGACCAGTGGTCTCTCTCATCTTGTTACCATATATGGTAAATCCAGAGTCATGCTGTTCATACCAGTAATGCATCATCAACCTTGGACTCTTTCCTAGTTTTGATGGTAGCAAGACAGGAATAGAATTGTGAAGTATTTCATTGAAATTTTCGTAACTTTTGGATTTATAGTTTATTTAGTTGAGCTTTATGAAGTAATAAGACTAATAAAAGAAATCCCAAAACAGACTACATGCAGTCAGTTCATCATCAGTCTAGTCACCAAGGCCAAATCTACCCAAAAGCCAGACCCAAAGCTCGGGAAAAGTTTCCTCCAGGCGCCTTTGAGTGCTAAAGAATTTGTGGTCAGTTAAAAATTCAGTAAACAACATGAAATATTAAATAAAATTTGTTTGCCTCTTCATCAATCATAGAAGAGCCTGTAGCTAAGAAGTATTTTTTTTTAATCAGCTTGTCTCCTTTTCTGTTAGCTTCGTTCAGGGGCCTCGAAAGAACGTATCTTTAAGGTTCCTTTCGCTTTTTTGGGCAGGACTTTTTAAAGAAATCATATTGAATTCATGCATTGCCTTCTTATAGGCTATTGGTGCAATGTTACAGATTCAGTTCAATTTTTAAAACTTCTTCCTTATAAAAGGTTACTAGTAACTGTTAAACTAACTAACGTTACCAATTCTACCAAGGTTTGAAAGAATAACCTTGATTTTACCATTTGTTCATTTGCAAGCCATTTGCATGCCAAGTATCCCAAATTTAGGAAACTTTTAGCAAACTTCTGAGAATCCAATCTCTTGCATTTCCAAGAAGTGTCCTATTTTAACCTTTCCGGCACAAACAAGCTCCCCTTGTTGTTGTCCTCCTTCCGTCCGCCATTGCCACCAGATAGCCTTACATCTATTGTTATTGTTGAATGAAGAGTAGGTAATTCTGTACGAACAGGTGTGCCAGGAGGGCAATACTTGCATGAGAAGCAGGTGTACTTTTCAGCAAATTGTATGCAGAAAAATGAAAGTTGCCATCTTAAATGTCAAACTTCATCCCCATTTTCGCTCGCTACTTTGTTGGCGGACGTTGCCGGCCGAAGACGTGGGCGCAAATCGCTGACATACTCGGGAGGTTTTCTACTCTCTCTGTCTTTCCCGCCCGGAAGTGCGTCTCCTAGAAACGTCATAGATAAACAACGTGAAACGGAAGTTCCACCTCTTTGACGTCATTCCCACCGCCAGGCCAACGCATTTCTGTTAGGACCGTGCTGATTGGCTCGGGCGTGCTTTTGAAGAGAACAAAGAAATGTGTTTTTGACTGTGGACAGTTATTATACACATGCTGTGATGTCTCTTTGTCGTGAATCCACTCCAGTGATAACCTTATGTGATAATTCAAAACTGCATAAGTTTGTTTTGAGATTTTGTTTGCCAAAGGCTCTGACTTGACTTGTGGGCTTATTCATTCGATGATGATGTGCAAGTAGGAGGTTCAATTCTTGTTTAGAGAATTGTCTGAAAGGGGAGAAAATGTCAAAATCCAAAGCATTGCCTAATAGTTTTAAACATTCAACATATGTTTAGGTAACGTTAGTTAACAAACAACGTATAATTTTTAATGTTATGTAACCCAATGAGGTTTCTAACTTCCTTACAACGTCTGAAGAAAACCCTGGAAAATATCAATAATTTATATAATTCGAATAATCTTTATCATCTCTTTTCATTGAATACTTATTAAAACTGATCATACCCATAATTTTGTACGGTGAACCTATGATCATGATCATCATAGAGCTAATCTCCAAGCAGAGGTTTGGGTTTGGGGTTGGTTGTTTTTGGCGTGTTTTTAGGCTTTTTTTATCGGGGCTTCTAGTGCAAGAAAGAAATCCCGATAAAACAGAAGCCTAAAAACACGGCAGAAATAACATTTGAAAACCCAAACCTCTGCTTGGAGAGTACATAGAGCAACCCTTTTCTGCCGTTTCAAACCGGGCGGGCGTCGCTGGCCAATGGCGAGGCTTGTACCATGGCGCCGGGCCCGTGCAGCTCAGCCGGGCCTCACGTGAGACCCGTCCGTCAAGGAAAGTCCCTCCCGTCGCCTCGGGCCAGCCAGAACACAAGCGGAAGCCGCCGAAATAGCATACAACAATCCATGGTGCCGATGTACGGGCAACTTCTCACCGAAACTACACTCAAGTAGTGAGTATCTCCTGTTTATGGTTGTGCGATGTGTGGTTTGAGGTGTTGGCGTGGGATTTGGGCTGGTTTGGGGGCTAGTTTGCTCGGTTTGGCGTTATTTTTTCTGCTGGACTCGATGTCTGCCATTCAAACTGCACTGGCGCCCGTGTTGAGTCACATCGTCTGTCCCACTATTTCCTGCTGAACTTTCTCAGAAATCGGAGCGTTCTGGACACTTTCCAGTGGCGGGATGTTTGCGTGGACTCCTGTGTGGTACAACCTTGTTTACTACGATGAAAAAAAATTCCATAGACTTTGGGAATTCGCTGGTTTAGGGGCAGATTTCGGGTTGGGGTGGGAATGACATTGGAATTTTCGACACTTGCCTGGAGCTTTCAGTGTTGGGATGGTTGCAGAGCTATTGTGTAATTTGCACGTTTCCTCGTCCCGATTTTCCTCATTCATAATGTCGCGGGCATCGAAACTGCACGGGCAGGTAGAAGTTACACTTGTTGTGGTGGGATAGCGGAGTCTTGGGGGCACGTAAACAGGTTCAGCCCAGCTGTTTTTCGCCGGCGGACTGGTTCTCCCTGCGCGCGATCGGCAGTTCTTTTGGCCTTGACACGGGAAGGTTGTCACGTACTGTGCGACGGGGTTTTTTCCACAGCTTGCCCCGCTTTCTAGACATGACTTCCGCCGTTGCTCGCAGCGTCCCATAGCTGTACACTGGATTTTTAAAGAACCTCCCTGACCTAATTTTCTTACTGATCACTCTCATCACCTGCTTTTAAAATGCCGGGAGCCAGTTGCACAGACAACACCCAGGGCGTGTTCCCGGGCCGCCACCAGGGATAATTTATGCCGCTTGGACAGCGAGCGATGCTTCTTCATAAACATGCCCGCCTCTTTACACATGCCTTTATCTGATTTTCCTGCTACTGTTGCAGGCAGCACACATTTGACACGATTTTCCCCCTCCCAGCTCGACGCGGGAAATTCATGTTGATGTTTTCCCGGGGTGCGAGGGTTGATTTACTTTTCCCCCACAAGCCTCTCATGAGAGTTCGCGTGGTAAACAACTCCGCCCTGCCACACTTTACCTCCCGTTCTACAACCCTGCTATCTGCAAGTGAATTGTCTCTAAACGGTTTAGTATCCTGCGAACTAATTGTTCTTTAGTTCATTTTCATTAAGGTGGCCAGAAGAATTATTATCCGTAGGAAGATGGCCAAGGATAAGAAGGGTAATCCGAGCCTGGTTTGTAAATGTTGTGTGAAATCTGTGCAGATGGTTGGGGTTAGGAGGACCCGGTGTCTGTTTATTGAGGCCAGGGCTCAGTCCCTCTCAAGCAGGCTTCACGTCCAATTAGAAAGTCTGCAGCATTCCGCAGCAGAAGGAATGAGCAGTACGGAATATCCTGAAGTGTTGAGCTGCCATATGATTTGGTGTGCATGTGTGGCTTCCCGTGGCAGCTTTGGTCATTTTGCAATATTCATGACCACGGTTTTTGTGATGCACTGTTACTGTACATCAACTTACTGGTTAGTATAGTAGTTTACATTTTTGTGCAGAACAGATTGGTATCATCATTTAGTCGTGTTTCTTACCAACTTTGGTTTCGTGAAAGTGAGGAGAAAATGATCGAACCAGAATCTGTAATCGATTCGAAGCCCTATTATTCCCACAAGACAGTGTGAATCACTGAGGGAAAATTTGAATATTCATAATTGTCAACTTTCCCACAACCACAACTGCTGCCTTCTACAAAATGCGATGGTTCCCAGAACACTATCCTGAAAACAATATCTTTTTCTTAGAAAATCAAGGACAGATCTAAAATTGAATTATGACAGTTAATTACTTTTTGATATGTGTAGGACACTGCCTAGATAATACATTGTACATCGTCATGTGTATTATTTCCGTGTTACTGTCATTGTTTACAGTTATAATGACAAAAATGCTAATAAGTCCAGTTAGATGGTGTAGTGTCCACCTTTTTTTTTCAAAGTTGCATCATCTATAGAAATGTTGCTGAAAAAGCTACATGTATGTAGATGCATTTATCGATGTTTGGTGATATCCAAGAAGTCAATATTCCTGAAAAAAATATCTCCCAAAGAAAGTTACATGTGTTTGTTTACTTGTCAGTTGTGGCCTACATGAACACACATGCCCTAAATACTGGAGATTACATAAGACCTGGGATGAAACTCAGTTATTTGGAGTTGACTACATGGGACATGTCCAAGCTTGTTATTTGCGTGCCTACTCAACAAATTTTGAAAATGAAACTGCTGTGTTGCAGAGAGTTTCATTCCCAAGTTTTATCTGTTTTAACTGAATTGTATTGGTTGAAAAAAAAGCCTTCCCGGTAGAGGGTGTCTCTAACAGACAAGATCACAAATATAGATATCAGCGTGTTCTTCTGTCATGTGTAAAGAAATTAGTACTCTGTAAGCTGTTCTCTCGAAGTTGTGCTCAGTCTCACAGCTGACAGAAGTGGGTCGTTCTACGTGCAAGCTGGATTTTTTCTAGGTCTGTACTGTTATGAAACATGTTGTTATGAATACCCATCTTTTATTGCATGGAGCCTTCAAGGAAATGCTATGAATGGGTAAACTAATCCAACAAATTTTACCTAACCTTAGGTTACTGGCATAGCAGTGTGTGTAGCTTGCCAGTGCAAGATGCTTGCCATGTTATTTTTTTCCCATAGCTACGCTAGGTCATTCTCACCTTCTAGGTCCAAAGTCCAGTACCTGATGTAATCTCACGCCAACGAACCTGCTTAGGTTGCATGTCTCCTGGTTTTCCCCTGTAGCACAAAGGGGTTGAAATAGTGCATTACACTACAACATGTCAAAGGTCAGCACCGGGCTTCCCTTCCTGAAAAACAACACAGGAAAAACAAGCGTGTTTTTGTTGCTGACACATCACTGTTTTTTGTTGTAGCCTGTATTGTAGGGAAAGGTCACTGGCCTGTGTAACTGTGTTGTGTGTTGGCAAGTCAGAAACAGAATTAATTTTATGGGCACCATTACTTTACACCTAGTGAAGTATTGTAAAATCATTATGAACCAGATTACCAACACATACATGCTATTTTCCACAGCTTTGTTGTTTTGGTATTGGCTGCAATAGGAGGTTGAACCACGTCTCTTACACAAGGTTTACTTACCGTTGGCCCACTCTGTGGTACTTGACGGTCAGCTGCAGTCGTTGCTAGTGTTGAGTAGGTTGTCTGAGGGTAACAACCTGGTTTGTATGCACAGAGAGGGAAGGTTAAAATTTTTCCTGGTTAGCAGGGATTCTTGGGATTCCAAGCAGGCTGTACTGCACACTAAGGACACCAGTGAAGTCTTTTTCTATGCATTTGC